CTCCTCAATGTGATAGCATTTTCCCACTTCCTTCCTGGGCTCCCCATTTCCACTGGTCCTTCTTTCCTGCCTTCTGAGCTTTGTTTTGGGCAAATACTTCCCTTTTGGCCTCGTATGATATATTGTACTGAGGAGTACTCACCTTTCTCATGTTATTATTCACCTTATAGGCCTAATCTATTGGCTGAAAGTTGATTCCTGGGAGTGGGTTCAGTTCCAGGCTTGGAGAGTATATATGGGTCACAGTCTCCAGGGTTCGACAAGTCTCTAATGACTTTTTTATGATTTTGGATTTTTTTCTACTTTTTTCTCTCTCTCCCTCTGTCCAGGACCTTCTGTTAGGATCCTGATCAGACCAGTTGCTAGTGGTAACCAGCACCATCTAGTTCTTCCAGTCTCAAGGTAGTGGAGACGATATTTCACATGGTCCATTAGTCCTTTGGACTAATTACTTTCTTGAGTCTTAGATTGTCTTCTCTTCTTTCCTCTGGATGGGGAGTGAGCAATGGCTTCATCTTAGATGGCCATCTGAGCTCTTTCATAAAAGTCACAATAAAATTGGAAGCAATTAGAAGAGTTAGAATTTTATGCACAAATGCTCTGCTGGCTTTTGGTGATATTTATGTGAAGTAAAGCTCAGAGGATGAGAGGGAGCGAAGGAATTAAGATTTCTTGGGAAAACCAGAAAAAATCACCCAGCAAGATTTCACCATGTCCTGGTAAGTTTGTGTAAACTTGGTGCTTGAGGTAAACCAAATAATTAATGGTTATGTAACCACCACTCAATCACATACATGGTTTAGCATCCAAAAGTACAAGTATCTAAAAAGGAATATTTTAGCAAATGGTCTTCATACTACTTCTAAGTTTATGGCTATAAGCCTTTGTAATTGAAGTGTATTCGTGACTAGAATAGAATAAGTAACCATGATTCTGTGGATACATGAACCTATAAGAACAATGCTGAATTGTGTTTACATATTTTTTAAGAGGACTGGGCAGTGTTTCATTCTGTTGTACACATGGTCACTATGAATTAGAACTAACAGGACGGTACCTAACAACAACAACATTTTTTAATATTCTATTATTCTGGTTCAGGTCAATATTTTCATATTTAAAAAGATTTATTCTGACATAGGGAATAAGATCCACATAATCAGCAAGCTGAGATATTAAAATTTTAACTAATTTGGCATTTTTGCTAGGGTGTCGCAAAATTTTTCCAAAAAATATTCAATTTGCACACACCCACTGCCATCAAGTCAATTCTGACCCATAGCAACCCATTGGGTTTCCAAGGCTGTAAATCTTTATGGAAGTAAATTGTCTCATCTTCCTCTCACAGAGCAGCTGGTGGGTTTGAACCACCATCCTTGTGGTTAGTAGCTAAAAGCCTTGCCTGCTATGCCACCAGAGCTCCTTAAATGCTCAATTTAAGGGACAGTAAACAAAAACAAAATAAGTTTATTTTGAGAAATATAGACAACATTCTCAATGGCCAGGACACATCTTTTCATGCAATCCAATCTGGCAAATGTACTAGTCCTTTGAGTTAGAATTTATGGACCCATAATTGACAACTTCAATAGTCTTCATTTTTTAAATTGTTGTTTAAATATATAAATATATGGAGCTCTGATGGTGTAGTGGATAAGGCATCTAGTTGCTAACCAGAAGCCCAGTGGTTCAAACTCACCAGCCACTCCGTGGAAGGAAGATGGGGTGATCTACTTCCGTAAAGGTTTACAGCCTCAGAATCAACTTGATGGCAGCGAGTTTGGCTTTTTTTTTTTTTTTTGGTATATATATATACAGATATATATGTGTGTGTGTGTGTGTGTGTGTGTGTGTGTATATATATATATATGTATATAACAACATTTGCCAATTCAATATTCATGTGTATATTCAATTATCTTAATTTCAGTCCACATACCAATCTGGCATGGACTTAAATATCTGTGGTCTGATAGTGCAAGGTTTCTATTGTGCATACCAAAAAATCCAAGCTCACTGCCACTGAGTCGATTCCAATGCATAGCAACCCCCATTGCATTTCCAAGGCTGTGAATCTTTACGGAAGCATACTGCCCCTTCTTCCTTCTGTGGAGCAGCTGGTAGGTTCAAACCACAAAGATCTGGTTAGCAGCCAAATGCTTTACCTACTATACCACCAGAGCTCCCTATACGCACTCATAGGTGCTTTCAAATGCTTCAGAAAAGCACTAAACATAAACAATTCAAGTTTCACACTGAAAATTTAACCTCAACTAAATTATCTCTGGTGGTCATTCAGGCTGTGCACCAACATTTGGTTCTCTCTTTCTTGGTGTCACGCATGAACATGTGACTTGCTTTGGCCAATGAATGTGAGCAGAAGTGTTACCTGCACCAGGAAGCTTTGAGAGCCAAAACTATTTCAACACATTCATTTCTTTCTCTGCCACAGTGATCATCAGTATTTACAATTTGGTTGCCTCATCAGCCTAGATCCCTGAAAGGAAGATAATAAGTCAGAATAGTGACATACGTGTAAGCAAGAAATAAATTTATTACTTTAAATCATTGAGCTTTGGGAGTTGATTGTTACTACTATACAACCTAGCTGATACATCATAATCTGACTGAAATGCCATCCCTTATAAGAAAGAAATATTGGGACACTAAGCTCTATGGTAAATGTTGCTATAATCAAAAACAAGAAATTTGGGGCAATATCTGTTATACAGTGGCATACATATTAGACATGGCTTTACATATTATGAGGCTCCCTTGTTGTTGTTGTTGTTGTTTGCCATCAAGTCGGCCCCGACTCATAGCGACCCTAGGTGATGCAAACAGTTTGCACTTGATTACTCACCAAAAGATTAGTGGTTCAAATCCACTCAGCAGGGTAAAAGAAAGGCTTGGTGATCATCC